TGAAATGAAGGTTACGGTAGTTGAAAGGAAAAACGATGCGTTATGTCGCATGTTGGCGCCGTTTAAAGAGGCGACTTTTGGTAATGATGTTTGGGACACTGTCCTTCTGCTGCTGGAGAGGAATGTTAATGAGTTGTGTCCATATTGTTCAGTTTTTCTTTGCACTGATAACATTCTCCTGAGTCTAACCTGATACTTACTTACAATAACTACTCAGTAATTTTGCACAAAATGATTTAATTTGTTTTCACAAAATAATATTGATAGTTATACTCAAATTGTTGATTCAGAAATATTAAAAAGTCAATTGGCTTTGTATCAGAAAGTTTATTCTCTCTGACAAGTTACTGAAAATTATTGTTTTAGGGAAAAAAAAGTATCAGAACAGTCAGATAAGAGAGGTGTTTGAAAATTACAAAGAATAACTTCCATTTCTTTTATTAAAAGAGTTCATTCTTTCCTTCTCATTCTGTTCTTCCATTTCTTTCCTAACAGAAAAAAAAATTGGTCAGAATCAGTGTTTACAACGTTTGCTTAACGGTAACAGCAGTCCTTTTTCAGATGCTGTGAAATATAATGCAATTCACACTTTAGATTGTAACACATGGCAAGAGCTGTGTCATCTGGTGACTTCTGTTAGTGCAACTGGACGAAATTTGTTCTCTGGCTCGTTGGTTTGGACTTTGTGGTGTCCTCAACTTTCCAATCTTGATTAAGTTTGCTTTGACTTTGTACGGGCAAAAAATGGCTATTCATATTAGGGCACATCCAGTCGATGCAGTGATTTTTATTTTTATACGCAAAGAAGGGGGAAAAAAGATGCAATTACAACAGTCTCAATGGATTAAGTTTAATGAAGTTGATTATTCCGACGTCTGCCCTGAGATGGTGCGAAGAAGGTTGGAATGAAGGTCTGCTCTCTTTAATTTGGAGTCTGAAGAAAAGGAATTGATCTGTCGGCATTCTCCATTTGCATGAGTTCACTGGTGCAGGCCCTGCTCTTTTGCAACCTGTCATAACTGATTAAACTGCACAATTTTACCTAATTAATGCTGTTTCCTGCAAAAGGCCCATAGATTTTTTGCTGCCCTGCTGACCCGCTCGGTTTCCATGGCAACCAAAGATTGGGCATGCAGCTTAACAGGTGAGGCACTGCAGAGGCATTTTGATCATTAATGAATGTCTACATATTACTTAGTAAAAAAAAACAACATCTTAGCAGATGAGTGGTTTGAGGAAATGAGTGCGTTGTTCCGTAAAAAAAAAAAACAAGTTTGTAAAATTTTTGAGTGTGTGATTTTTAGATATGTGCAGTCTGGTCGGTACATGGAAAATATGTTTGTTAGAAAAACTAGTCTAGTCTTCCAGTCAGCCATAGCTATTGACATGTATAATAGCTATGCACAGTTCACTGTAATTTCTCAATGATGGGAAATTATTTTTCTTATATTTATAGCCTGCTTCTGTTTAGTGGATTGTTGTGTGTTTTTTAATCTGTTCGCACTATTAATGTAACTGACTGAACTTCTTTTGACTTTAAGGGTTACCATCCATTTTTTTTCTCGGTATCTTTTAGAAACAAGCCTGAGAAACACAGGGAAAAGCCAAAGTAGCATGAAGACTGATAGAAAGATTCATTATTTGCCATCCAGATTCCACCATTCATTAGTTCTTTTTTTTTCTTTGGCCTAATTTGCTCTTATCAGCCTGAAGAATGACATTTCCAACCAGAGCCTCATGTTACATTTGATTAGCAAGATTTTAGCGGCTCTGGGATTGGCAGGCCTGCAGGGATGTGCTCCCTCGTGGTGACCCAATGGCTTGAGATCTCCTTGGAAAGAAGAATTGTACATTTCTGCCATTAGTTCATTAGATATACTAATCTAGAGACCACGCTATATGGTGTATCTAACTGGGAACAGTTAACACTTTTTTGGTTTTTTATGAAGCATTGAACATTTTTTTTTTTGTTCTGTTGGTATTGACTTTATCTGGGAAAAGTAGTGCAATTTTATTTTAGTATACAGAGTGGGCGGCTCTTTGCAAATGTAAGATCATATTATTGTACCCTCAGGCCCCCTTACTCTCCTTCACCTCCTTTCCCCTGCACACACAAGAGGTATACTGGAATCTAATTGCTCATTCATCTGTCAAAGTAGAAAATATCTTGTCTGTCTGTCTGTCTGTCTATGTTGAAACCATTTGCCACCATTGACTTTTTTTTTTTTTCATTTTTCAATTGGTTTCAGTGAAATTTTACACACATAATCATATAAGCATGTAGTGACTCGTGGACTGAAGAGTTGCAGGGTTATATGCCTATAGAACACAAAAACCAGAACCAGTTGTCGTGGATGTTTTGATCACCTCCGTGTTGAGATGTTAATATTCATATCAGTTCAATCATCAGCAAGTCTATTGTGGTGTAAAGGACAAGAAGTCATATCCTGTCACCTTGTGTGACAGTATCTTAACAAGTCTTATAATTACTGGCACAAACACTTCACATTCTGCTCCATTAGACTAGAGGACCATGATTTAAACCATTAGGTCAGAATTCAAAACCCTGTTGACTTTCATAATTTGTTGCTTTTATATCCTTTTTTTTTTGCCATGGATTTTGCTGATGACATTGTTGACAATCATCAATTAGTCAGAATTATTTGACCCTCATTATTTTACAGGAAACGAGTAATCATATTAATTATAATTAATACCAAGATTAATAAAGACTAAGAAAGGTAATAATTCTACCCCTTGTGTGCATGCATGCCTACCTGGGAGATTTATGCAGTAGGGGAACATCTGCAACTTGAAATATATTTTTAATTCAAAAGGTTGGTGTTACAGTGTATGTCTATTAATCAATAATTACCACAGATTAATTGGATTAATTAAGATCAGTATTCCGATGCCTAATGAGGATTGAGTGTTTAATTTTATGTTCATTTTTTTTTTTTTTTTTGTGATATTGGTGAAATAAATATTTTAAGTCTTGGGTATTTTAATTATGGATATGATTTTAATATGTATAATCATCTTGATAATATTATGCTCATATCTTTCAACATTTGATTTATTATACACTATAAATGTAAAAATTCCATCTTCTGGTTGTTATTTGAAATGAAGTTATTTAGATTTGATAGGTTTAGGTGACAACATGAACAGGTCAAAAAGTGTCATCTTTTTAATGTATATTTTGATTAATTTTATTTTTCAAATGAGATAATGTTTGAGGCTAACTTCGATAACTAGATGTAAGAATTCGTCACAATGAAAAAGAAAGCTGAAAAGATAAGAAATTGGAATGTATCAGCTACTTTATTTATGAAGGAAAAATGGATAACATTTCCTAGGAAAGCACAGTGTTGTGGCAAGGTCTTCAATTTGAAATAAAGACTTTTGAGCTGTGCATTTTGGAGCACTCAATTTGGATACCCATAAATGACCTTAGAATAAAAAGAAAAAAACTGGCTGCATAGCATTAGAGAGATCAAAATTCCAAAAGTTGGAAGGTAAAAATGTTTCCTACTTAGCCATGATTTCAAACAAACATTTGCAAAGTTTCAGAAAAACAAACACATTTGCTAAACAAACTCTGGGGTTGCCAAAGTACACAGATTGTAGAACAGGTGTAGAGAGACAGTTAATCGAGGGTTTTTCTAGACAAGTTCTCACCTTCATTCCCCCTCCCTCCCAAAGCATGTAGGAGTAGCTTAATAAAGAATTTCTCTTTTTCACACCTTGTTGCATGGTTATGAATAGTAGACAGGATTGAGTAGAGGTGAATGACAGGTCTGCTTGAAAACCTATAAATCTATTTCTCTTCTCTATAAAAAAGTTATCACCCTGTTCATAAATGACCTGTTAGTAATGAAACAGTGCCCCCACCCCCCAACTTGGTAATTAAAAGGTGATATGAGCCTGTGGAAATCATTATCATTGTTGTTTGATTGTAAAGCAGGGCTGTTAATTGAGCTGCCATGACAGCATAATAAATGTTCAGCAATTATGATTGTAAGTATTAGAACACATGTCTTTGAGATGAGGATGAAAAGAGGTGTTAAAACTTGCAGCCATAAAGGCAGTGTTTGGTGGTTATTATTCCTCTGTAATTAATGAGACATTTGAGTCTGGAGAAATTTCTTCTTAAGAGGCAACATTATGAAGGTGTCTGAGAAGAAGACCAAAAACATTTGCAAATGACAGGAGCACTTCCCTTCTTGATTTGCACTTTTCTGACCAAAAGAGAGAAAGAGATGAATTATGTGAAGAGGGCAATGTAGGGCCAGGACAGAGTCTTATCTAACCAAGGCATTTAGTTCTGAGATCACGCAGTGGGCAATTAATCATTTAATATTTCGGCCACAGCGGTGTCACAGAGATAATGAGTTATGTGGTATTTTTATCTCTCCGCTGTCTTGTGTCACAGCTCTCTCTCTATTTCTCTCCATGTGACTTCCACCAAAAGCCAACACTGACGACACCACCTCTCCTCTCTGCTCATGGTCCAGTTTGGAAACTGACGAGGCAATCAGTTTGAGGTTTGTTGCTGGCATGACATCACAAGTACCATGTTGTTGATCACTGACACTCATTAGTGTCAGCATTCAAGCCACCCACTTAACAAGACCAGCCGAGGCTGGATTAATTTTGAAAGTAGGTCAGGTGATGGAAGAGGGGTGTAATTATCACCACCTGGGTGCTCTTAGGTTTTGTCTCCAGGAGCTGCCGTGGCTCGGACAGGCGTACGTTGAGTTAAGGTATCTCTAGTGGATTGCAGCAGCATCTGATGGAGTGCCTAAGCTTGTAGGCTCTGACAGTAGAAACCGTGGGTGACTTAGGTTTTAATCAAGACAGTCTGCTGTTTGTCATATTGTAGAGTAGTCACAGTCGGGCTGCTGAAGAGCCTAGTGCCGTCCCCGTGGCGAAACAGTGTGTAGATTGGGCTGGATGAGACAACCGCACAACTATTTCTGTTTTTTTTTTCTTTCCAGAGGAAGATTGAGAGAGACAGTTTGTAGATATCCAGCCAGAACAGACAAGAAAAAAGTGAGAAGCTTACTCCTCATTGAAGGTATGAATGCTTTCTTTAAAAAGTTATTTTGTTATGTTGATGTGATTAAAGTTACAATAAAGATCCCTAAAACAACAGCTGAAAATCAGATTTAAGACCACTCCAATATTTCATTGTCTCACATGATACCTTCATTAAGGAATGAGGCTGTTGATCTCACAGTAGCCTTTTCCTTTTGAAGAATCTATTATTGTAACTTTCAGTGCATGACACAGCTGATGGAATAATTTTTAGATATAATTTAGTTTTATTTATATAAATATGCATGTTATATATATATTATTCAATTCTGCCTTATATATATATATATAAATATATATATATATATATATATATATATATGAACTTTCATTCCCCTCTGTCAACTTTGTGCTCCATTTCCCAGCCCGTCCTCACTGTCAGGCTGTAAAAGATGAGGCTTTGTTGACTGATGTTATCTGAGAGCGCCTTTTGTTTCCAGCGACATTCTTCTATATATGCAGCACTAACACTTACAAAAGAGAAGCAGGCACACAGTGGTGAATATATTAAATTGTTACATTCAGAACAATGAGTTGACATGAACTTCAAAATTTTCCTACGGCAGGAGGTAATGTGGGTTGTTGAATGAAAAAAAAAGATACAAAGAAAAGTGGGAAAGGATGCATCTTTGTAAAAAAAAAAGTTGCTTAGTATCAGATTTACATTTGTGATTATCAACATAATGGCTGAGTGTCGTATGCCGAAACTTTCTCACCTTGGATATGCTTGATTTGTTCACCAATTGAAATTGCAGGTGACTAAATTGCAATCCAATGCATTAATTTCTCTCATTTGCAGTTGTAGCGTGTTGTGTGGTCTCTTATTTTTTTACACAGCTGACAGCTGCATCAACTCATTCTTACATTTCCATTTAAAAAAAGTTATTTTTAGCTGATATCAAAATTAATTATAACTAATTTAAAAGTACAGGATTCTTTGTATTTTAGATTTGTCCTTCACTCTCTCTCTCTCTCTCTCTTTCTTTGACAGAAAGATCATCACCATTATTTCAAAAACAATCTTAACACACTAGTTATTTTTCCAGAAATAATTCATATTAAAAAATATGAGAAAAAGTTTCATAAAAATTTCACTGGTGTGATGGTGTTATATGGTGGGTTTCTAGTTAGTGTTAGAAAACATGACAAGGCAGCACAGACGGAGGGAACCTAAATATCGATTACAGTCAAATTCCAAAAATGACAACAACATGTGTTTTCTTCAATCAAAGGCAGACGTTATAGTCTCATTAATAGACTGGCAAAGATTAGGTCAGAAAATTCTCCCATTCAACTTCAGTTTAGAACCACGTTGTGACAGAAGACGCCTCTCTCCTTCCCCCCCCCCCTCCCATTCAGCATTAGTTCAGATAAATGAAGATGTTCTAGAAGAAAACAGGACAGGTTAATTAGTATGAAAAAGCAACATATATTTGATCTGTATGAATTATATCCTGCAACAATGTATTTTTTTGAATGAACATGACCTATTTCATTTTTTTCTGGTACAATGCATGTAAAAGTGTTTGTAGTACACGTGTCCATGCATGCATTCGTGCAGGTGGGTGCTCACACACACACACACACACACACACACACACACACCATCTACAGCATCTCTACAAGGCATTTCTGTAATCAGTGTACAATTTCAATTTTTAAATAAAACATACCTTACATACAACCAAGAGCTTGAAGTGAACTGATTTGATTTATTAGAAGTTTGACTCAATAACGTCTCCTGATCCCTGGCCCCTCCGCGTTCCACGCTAATGACATTACAATGAGATGCATACATCAGATAACTGCTTGTTTGCTGCTGGCGGAGATGAGTGTGCAAAAACCATTGTCTTAAATTTCAGGTTAATTAACCCACAGAGGGCGATTGATCCCCTCGGACGCGTGTACAGAAGATTTGGTTAACTTCTCAACAAGTGGAATGGAACTCCAATGTGGATGTTTATGTATTTTGTTTTGTGTGTAGTCATATTGGAGAGTATATCTGTCATGATGTAAAGTATGAGTTATATGACATGCACTTACATGATAGATTTATCGGTTCAAAAGCATCCCTGTGCTTAAGATTATATATATATATATATATATATATATATATATATATATATATATATATATATATATA